TACTGCCTCTCTGGTGCCTCATGGCCAAAGCTGTAAATCTTTACAGAAGCAGACTGCTTCATCTTCTCCTGCAGAGTGTGTGATGGGTTTGAACCACTGAAGTTTTTGATTAGCAATCAAATGCTTTAACTACTACGCCACTAGAGCTCCTTATTGATACACTTGTGAGGATTTTTGTTTTCTTTATACTGAGGTATAATCCATGCTGAAGACTCTAGTCTCTGATCTTCATCAGTAAGTGCTTCAAGTCATCTTCACTTTCAGCAGGCAAGATTGTGTCATCTCCATATCATAGGTTGTTAACAAGTCTTCTTCCAATCCTGATGTCATGTTCTTCTTCATATAGTCTGGCTTCTAGGATTATTTGCTCAGCATAGAGATTGAATAAGTATGGGAAATACAACCCTAATATACACTACAGCGAAACATTGCATAACATAAAGATTGTAATCAGTGTCACTGAATTGTACAGTTAGAAATGGTTAAAATGGCAAGTGGTTTGTTATATGCATATTGTTGTTGTGAGTTGCTGTTGACTCAGTTAAGAGTAGAGCTGCCCCATAGATTTTCAAGGCTGTGACCTTTCAGAAGCAGATCACCAGGCCTATCTACCAAGGTGTCCCTGGGTGGGATCTTACTGCCAACCTTTTGGCTAGTACTAGAGTGTCTAACCATTTGCATCAGCCAGGGACTCCATGTCCATATATATATTTTACTACACATGTAAAAAAAAGTTAATACCAAAACAGCTTCCCATTTAAAAAAATAAAAAACATACCATGTCCAAAATAAAGCATGTATCAGATTAATGCAACTTGGTTCTTAGGGGTTCCTATCCATGAAATTACAGATCAGGGATGTTTACCTCCTTCCTTCATGCACCTCAGGATTTAGCAGTTCACTGTGTTGGACCCTGCCCAACACAGTGTTATAGTATAGTTATAGTAGCACTTGGGTTCCCTCAGTATGAACTGCTTCTGACTTTCTCCGTAACACACACTACCTTCTCCGGAGAACTTAGGACAGCCACTTAACCTCCTGAGCCTCACTTTCCTTATCTGTAAATGGAAATGACGGTTGTTACTTTTCTTGTTCACAATATAGTTGTGAGAATACTTTGAGAAAACTGATTTGGAAGAGCTCTGAAATGATAACAGATGTCTCTGTAAGGTATCACTTGGCTAATCCTTCCCTCAGAGCCGTGCCTGGGAACACTGTGGTGGATGGCCTGCCGCAGTACAGGCTGCTGCTGTGAGCACTCAGAGTAACCAATGTTAATGCAGGGAAGCAACTTAACCTTTGCTGCTCAGATCCACCTAAGTCAAAATTGCTGTGGCTGTGGTTACTACATGTGATTATTATTCATGCCACTCTTTTGATTTCTCTGGTAAAGCAGCCAGTAACATTTAGCCAAAAGTCCCTTCTCGTTGTTAGCTGCCATTGAGTCGGTTCTGCCTCATGGAGTCCCCATGCACAATGGAATGAAGTACTGCCCAGTATGCACCATCCCTTTGATAGTTCTTGGTTGGACTATTATGCTCCATAGACTTTGCATTGGCTGATTTTCAGAAGTAGATTGCAAGGCTTTTCTTTCTAGTTCATCTTAGTCTAGAGGCTCCACTGAAACCTATTCATCATATAGAAACACACAGGCCTCCACTGACAGATGAGTGATGGCTGCACTTAAGGTACATTGCCTGTGAATCGGGCAACTATACGAAAGGAGAGAATTCTACCACTGAACCACTAATTCCTCACATATCCTTTCTTAGAACCCTCTAAACAGTTTTAATGTATTCGTCCCTATATTTCCAAAGCAGTGTGTGCCTTGTGCTTGGCACGAATGTTTTTCTGTCTTAGATTGTAAACCTGAATGATCTCAGATTGTACCATATTAATCTCTGTGTTCTACTTCACCCCTACCCAAGAAGCTAGCACTATGTTTTCATAGCAAGTAGATATGAAGTGTTGAATTACATTCCTGTCACCTGAAGTCATAGACCCTGATACCACACTTTTCTTGATAAAGATGAATAATACTTAAATCAGCATCATCCAGTGACTTGGATTTCTATTCTCCCTGTTCTCTTTATGTTGTTCTCTTTATAGACCAAGTTAATTTTCATTTTGAGGAGTGTTCAGAATTGTGAAAGCTAACACTAAACTTCTGTTGAAAGTCTTGGCATTGTAATGCTATTCATGAGCATTGGAAGCAGACTGACCTGAATTCAAATGGTAGTTCTACCATCCTCTACTTTTGAGCCTTTGGTCAAGTTATTTAACTCCTCTGATGTTCATTTTCTTCATTTGTAGAGTTAGGCTAATACTTGACCTACAGAGTGAAGTAAGGATGAAGTAAGTGTTCCTAGATCTGTTAGCACAATGCCTTCTGTGGAGTAAACACCTGATAAATGACATCTGCTATTTGCCATTATCCTTAACCTGTTAAATAGAGCATTTTAAATAGTATCCTGTTGATGGAAAATTTAGAGTATATCTAGATGATAGGAGCTCTGGTGGTATAGTGCCTAAGACATTTGACTGCTAACCAGAAGGGTGGTGGTTCAAACCCACCAGCCACTCCTTAGAAGGAAGACTGGGCAATCTACTTCCGTAGAGGTACTGCCTTGGAAACCCAAGGAGGGGTCATTATGATTTGGGACCAACTCGACGTCAGTGAGTTTGATTTGATTTGACTTTTATCTAGATGATAAAATGAAAAAGCTTCAGCAGTGTAAGTTGTTTTCTCATGATCAAAACTCTTCCTCAGACTTCTAAGACATGTCAATAAAAAAATTTCTCTTTTCTGTGCTTTATTGGACATCTTGATGAAGTATGAAATTTCTTAAAAATGAGTGTTTAGGAGGAAAAATTAAGACAAATTAAGAGGTTTAAATGAGTTATAAATTTTTCCTTAATGAAAAGTTGACTGTGTCCTGGGGACAAGTTTAATTATATCATAGTAACTAATGATGTGGGCTCCTCAGCTCTGTGACTTATGCTGTGTAATCTTGAACAAGTTACTTTTTCTCTCATTAAACCTTGATGTCCTCTTCTGTAAAATGTAAAATAATATTACTACTTCCTAGAGCTTTTGTTGCTGTTAGTTTCCACTGAGTCCTGGCCACCCTATTTGTGTCAGAGCAGGACTACTCCATCGAGTTTTCAAGGCTGTGACCTTTTGGAAACAGATTGCCAGGCCTGACTTCAGAAACACCTCTTGGTGGGTTTAAACTTCCAATCTTTTGGCTAATAGTCAAACATTTAACCATTTGTGGTATCTAGATTAGGATTAATCAAAGTAATACTAGTTAATACATGTGAAGTATTTAATATATGACCAGATTCGCAGTTAGCCCTCAGTATATGCTACCTATGGGTAGAAAACCGAGAAAGAGGAATTCCCACTACTAAAGGTAAAGATTAAACTTTTGTTCCTCCTTTTCTGAACACAGAATTTGCAGTTAACCACTTCTTTATGCCATGTTTAACTAAGGCTCCTAGATTCCTCATCTATAATAACTGCTCCCCAATTTCGAAACGAAATCAGGATAATTTGGAATTCAGGTTTCTTACCCTCTCTAAAGAAGCTCTGGTGGCACAGTGCTTAAGGCATTTTTTTTTTTTTTAATTAGGATTTGGGTGAAGATTTACAGAGTAAATTCACTTTTCATACAGCAGTTCACATATACTTTGTCTCATGTCATTGACCAAAATTTACAATGCAGCAGCTCCCCTCCCACTTCCTCCCCATAGTTACCTCCTCCCAGTGTCCGTCCCTTCATACTCTTCTGCACCCTGAGCTATCTCCCTGTGCATAAGCAGCCCTTCCTTCTCCCATGATTGTTCTCTCCAGGGCGTGTGTCTACTTGAGGTAAATGTTTAACTCACATGCCTGTACTTTGTTTGGCTGGAAACCACAGTTGTGGGTTCAATTCCAGACCTGAAGGGCAGCTAGGGGCCATAGTCTCAGTGGTTACACCAGGCTCCATTGGACCAGCAAACCTGGTCCCCACCTTCTTTTTTTTTTTTTTTTTTGCCTCCAAATGATTTTGAGTTTTATTCCACATTGTTCTCCCTCTTTATGCAGGATCTCCTACATCCCTTCCAAGTGGATGACAGTGGTAGCTGGGCACCATCTAGTTCTTCTGGTCTCATGGTTGTATAGGTTGCAGATCGGATGGTGTACCAGTCGCTAGGACTGATTGTTTCCATTAATTTTGGTTTTCTTCTTTCTTCTTGACGAGGAGAGACCCGTTGTTGCATCTAGATGGCAGCTTCCTAGCTTTTAAGGTCCCAGTCGCTACTCGCCAAAGTAGTAGGTGGAACAATGTTTTGTACAGTATGTTATGCCAATTGAGCTTGATGTCCCCTGCGACCATGGTCCCAAGCCCGCAGGATCAACTACTTGGTCCCTCTGGGTAGCTGGCTGTGACCAAGCAATGACCATAACCTTGCCCTGCTTAAGGCATTTGACTGATAACCAGAAGGTTGGCAGTTCAAACCACCATCCACTCTGTGGAAGGAAGACTGAGGAGTCTTTATTAAAGAAAGCAGTCTTTCTGTAAAGATTACCACCTTGGAAACCCAATGGGGGTCACTATGAGTCAGAATTGACTCAATGGCAGTAGGTTTGGTTTTGGTTTTGACCCTCTCTAAGCCTCAGTTTTCTTGTATGTAAATATGGAAAATTATAGTACCTACCTCTTAGGGCACATAACAACAAAACAACAACCTCCTAGGGCTACTGACTGTATCAAAACAGCTAATATCTAGCTTGTATCATAGTGCTGAACACATTATAATAAATGTGTAAACAGTAAACATCATCATCATCATCAGGGCCATCTATCACTTTGTTAATTTTTAGATGGAAAAACATTCCATGCTATTCCAAAAGTCTTTTGAGAAAAGGAGTTTACTCCTAATGAAACAACATATTAAAGTTTTGCAAAGAATTATTGATAAGGAGGTATCTATATCTACTTTTGTTATTTCAGACATTTCTACAAGTGGTTGGTGTGGTGGCTGTGGCAGTGGCAGTGATTCCTTGGGTTGCAATACCCTTAATTCCTCTTGCCATCGTTTTCTTTATTCTTCGACGCTATTTCTTAGAAACATCAAGAGACGTCAAACGCCTGGAATCTACGAGTGAGTATTAAGGATCTCAGGCTGGCGTGGCAATGCTAGCTTCTATTTATGCCATTATTAAGGAAATGCCTTGTTTTGGTTCTCTAGTGCAACTCTAACAGAAAAACACAGATGAGTGGCTTTAATAAACAGGGATTTATTCTCTTACAGTTTAGGAGGCTAAAAATCGGAGTTCCAAGTACCAGCTCTAGGGACTGGGTGAAATCCCCTCAACCTTGGGCTTCAACTCTGCCTCTTGTTCCCAGCCCACAGGAGTTGGAGATATGTCTTTACTCAGGCAGCTGCTGGCTGCTGAGGCTATCAAGCCCAAGGTCAACAAGTGAAATGGCACAGTCCCAAGAGAATCACACAACAAACACATTAGCCACTAGTTCAAGTCCAGGAACTATCATAAGATCAGCAGACAACATGGCTGGCTGCTGAATGAAGACTCAGCTGATTGCAGGATCCAAGCATGCCAAAAAGCTCAAGACATTTCTCAAAGCTGCTGCTTATATACTGGAAGCAGACCACATCCCTAAGGCAGCTATTCAGCTGCTCTAGTAGATTCCACCATGGAGTTGATTACCAGTCTCATCATGAGGAATAACTACATCCAGTTTCTCAGCCACTCAAAATCAGGCCCGGCCAGTTGACACACAACTTAAGTACCACAATGCTATCCCTGGTCAGCTTAGCATCTGTACACATCTTCAGTGGGTGGCTCCAGTCCCCTAGTTCATCTGAGTGGCAGCCTTACCCTCTTGGCCTTGCAGGCCCCGTTCCTCTGCCTCTTGGGCATGGCATCCCTGCCCCCTCACTTTTGGGCAGCCAATATGACCCATCCCACTGGGCCTCATGAAATGGCAGTCCCACATTCCAGAACCAAGTTAGTGAAGGTCTGACTCTGAAACCTGGGAGGCTGTGGTGGTTCTACTCCAGAGGCCATGGTCCTATCCTTTGAGGCTGAGGCAGCTTTGCTTCCCATTTCCTTGGTCTCTCTGCTTCTGCTAATTAATGCCCGAAGGCAACCCACTCTGCCAGGAATCTTCTGGCACAAAGTTATCAATGAGTTTATTGATTTTGGCCCACTAAGTACAGATCCTTCATTCAGTGTTTTGGCTTCAGAGGTTAGGAAAGGATCTAATTGTTTATTTGGTTGGCTTACTGAAGCATGGTTTATGCAGTTGCCCACTGCATAAATCACTGTAAATCAAGTTGAAGTACCAGACCTGCCTTGGTATAATGTAGAAGGTTTTCAAAGGCTTAGGAGAATTGGCATGTAAGAATGAATTTAACAGATTAGACCCATAGACCCAGAAATGGAGAGCCCAGAGGACATACTTTTTACCAATACATTGAGGAACAAATTGGTGAAGGGAGCCCCAGCATCTTTGAAGACTGCTGCAATTGCTATTTTATGTAAGCCAGATTTGACAGTGGGATCTGTCCTAATTTAATTAAGACACTTAATTATGATGGGATTGATTGGGCCTTGCAATGGTAGGGGCCAAGTGACAACAGTTAATCGACAAAGACAAGGTGGATGTGGTTAACATAATGTGGAGCAGAGTCAAAGCAGTAATCAGAATAATCTGACTTCTGTGAACTTGTGGCATTGGCTGTTTAGGCATGGTGTTCCTAGCAATATATGGGAAACCTACTAAATATTTACTTGATCTGTATAAACAGAATTCTAGGTCACATAAACAGCAGTCTAGACTGAATTGCCAGAATATGGAGTTATGGCCCCTCAATCAATTCCTAGACTTGATCCAGTTTACAGGCCTACTTGAATGAAGGCGAGTCTGAATCCCCTTGAGCAAGGACCCCACTACATTACTGAACATGTATACTGAATGAATGAAGGGGAGTCTAGATCCCCTTGAGGAAGGATCCCACTACATTGCTAAACATGTATACTTTGATCTTTCTCCCAGCCTTCCCCGAAGGAATCTGAGGCCTTTTACATGAGTGAGTGTTCATTGGGGAAAAGGAAATAATCAGAGTTTTCAGGGGCTACTGGATACTAGCTCTGAATTGACATTAATTCCAGGAGACCCCAAATGTCACTGTGGCCCACTGGTCAGAGTCGGAGCACATGGATGTCAAGTTATTGATGGTGTCTTAGCTCAGGTTCATCTCACAGTGGGTCCACTGGGTCCCTGAAACCATCCTGTAGTGATTTCCCAGTTCCAGAATGCATAATTGGAATAGACATACTTAGTAACTGGCAGATCCTGCACACTGCATCCCTGACTGTGGAGTAAGGGCTTTTATGATAAGAAAAGCCAGTGGAAGCCCAGAATATAGTGAACCAAAAGCAATACCACATTCCTGAAGGGATTGCACAGATTAATGGCCATCAAGGACTTGAAGGATGCAGGAGTGGTGATTCCCACCGTATCCACATTTTACTCACCTATTTGTCCTGTACAAAAAACAGATGGATCTTAGAGAATGAAAGTGGATTATCGCAAACTTAATCAGTTGGTGACTCCATTTGCAGCTGCAGTTCCTGATGTGGTTTCATTGCTTGAGCAGATTAATAAATCTCCTAGTACTTGTTATGCAGCTATTGACCTGGACAATGCCTTTTTCTCAGTACCAATTTCAAAGGCTCATCAGAAGCAGTTTGCCTTCAGCTGGCAAGGCAAACAGTATATATTCACACCGCTACCACAGGCGTTTATCAACGCTCTAACACTATGTCATAATTTAGTCCATAGGGATCTTGATTGCCTTTCCCTTCCACAGGACATCACACTAGTCCATTATATTGATGACTGTTTTGGTTACCTAGTGCCACTCTGACAGGAATACACCACAAATGGGATGGCTTAAACAAACAGGAGTTTATTCTTACAATTAGAAAGCTTTAAGTCCAAGTTCACAGTGCCAAGCTCTAGGGGCTGGATGAAAGGCCCTCAGCCTTGGGCTTCAGCTTTGCCTCCAGCTCCCAGCCTACAGAAGCTAGAGGCTTTTTGTCACTCAGACAGCTGCTGGCTACTGAGGCTGCCAAGCCCAAGGTTGACAAGTAAAAAGGCACAGTCCCGATGTTACCAAACCACATGGCAGGCCGTTAATTTAAGTCCCCTGATCAGCAGAGTGTGGCAGGCTGCTGAACAACAACATGGCTACATGCAGGGTCCAAGCATGCCATAAGCTAGAGACCATTTCCAAGGCTTCTCCTTATATACAGGAAGCAGACCACATCCCAAAGGCAGCTACTCAGCTGCTTGTGGTAGATCCCACCATGGAGTTGATTGCCAGTCACATCAGGGGAATAACTACCACCTGCTGCCCAGCCACTCTTCCAGGCCCAGCTAAGCTGACACACAAACATAACTACCACAGTTCCACCCCTTGTCAGCTTGGCATCTGTACAGATCTCCTCCACTGGGTGGCTCCAGTCCTCTAGTTCCTCTAAGTGGTGACCTCACCCCCTTGGCCTGCTAGCCCGTTCCTCTCTCTCTTGGACATAGCAGCCCTGCCCCCTCACTCTTGGGCAGCAGCTATGCCTCCATCCCACTGGCTCACGTGAACGAGCAGCCCCATACTCCAGAACCAAGTTAGTGAAGGCTGTTAATTTAAGTCCATTGTAAGTCCCCAGATCAGCAGAGCATGGCAGGCTGCTGAACAATGACACAGCTACATGCAGGGTCCAAGAGTGCCATAAGCTAGAGACCATTCCCAAGGCTTCTCCTTATATACAGGAAGCAGACCACATCCCAAAGGCAGCTACTCACCTGTTTGTGGTAAATCCCACCATGGAGTTGATTGCAGTCTTATCAAGGGGAATAACTTCCACCAGCTGCCTGGCCACTTAACCAGGCCCAGCTAAGTTGACACACAAACTTAACTACCACAATGACATTATGGTGATTGGACCTAGTAAGGAAGAAATATCAATGACTCTAGAATTATTGGTGAGACATTTGTGTGCTAGAGGGTAGGAAATTAACCTGACAAAAATTCAGGCACCTTCCACCTCAGTGAAATTTCTAGAGGTCCAGTGGCATGGGGCATGTTGAAATGCTCCTACTAAAAGTGAAGGATAAATTATTGCATCTGGCAATAACTAAGAAGGACATTCAACATCTGGTGGGCCTCTTTGGATTTTGATGGCAACATATCTCTCACTTGGGTGTGTTGCTTTGGCCTATTTATCAAGTGACTCAAAAAGATGCTAGTTTTGAGACCCAGAACAACAGAAGGCTCTGCAACAGATTCAGGCTGCTGTGTAAGCTGCTCTGCTATGTGGCCATATGATCCAGCTGATCCAATGATACTTGGTGTCAGTGGCAGATAGAGATGCAGTTTGGAGTCTTTGGCAGACCCCTATTGGTGAATCACAGCTTAGATCCTTAGGATTTTGGAGCAAAGCCCTGACATCCTATGCAGATAACTACTTTCCTTTTGAAAAACAGCTTTTGGGTTGTTATTAGGCCTTAGTGGAGACTGAATACCTAACCATGGCCCAGTAAGTCACCATGCAGCCTGAGCTGCCTGTCATGAACTGCGTGTTATCTGACCCAGAGAGTCACAAAGTTGGATGTGTACAGTAGCACTCCATCATTAAATGGATGTGGTAGGTAGGTTGAGATTGGGCTTGAGCGAGACCTGAAGGCACAAGTAAGTTGCATGAGGAAGTGGCCCAAAGGCGTGTAGTCTCCACTCCAGTCACATTACTTTCCCTTTCTCAGTCTGCACCTGAGGCCTTATGATATAGTTGATTGAGGAAGAGAAAACTCGTGCCTGGTTTATAGATGGTTCTGCGCAATATGCAGGCATCATTTGAAAGTGGACAGCAGCAGCACTGCAGCTCCTTTCTGGGACTTCCCTGAAGGACAGTGGTGGAGGGAAATCCTCCCAATGGGCAGAACTTCAAGCCATGCATCTGATTGTTCACTTATATAGTGATCAATGGGCTGTGGCCAACGGTTTGGTTGGATGGTCTGGGAGTTGGAAGAAGCATGATTGGAAAATTGGTGACAGGGAAGTAAGAGGAAGAGATACAT